AGTCGGCCACCGAGGAAACGGCCGACGCCATGCGCAAGCGTCGTCGGCAACCGCGGCGTCACCGTCATTGGCAAGGATGGCGCACAGAGAAAGGGCAAAGACGCCCTCGCCGACGCCACCGGCGGCGGCGGGCGCAAGAAGAGCGGCTTGCCCGCGGCCAACGGCGCCGCCGAGGCGAGCGGGTCCAAGTTTAAGCTGTAGCCGTGGTCGTCGGCGGCGGCGGCGGCGGCCTGCCGAGCGTTCCAAGAGGGGCCCGGGCTCGAGATTTCTATACGCATGCGCGCGGGCCTGCGATGCTCCATCGCCGTCACTTCATCACCGTCACATCACCGCCAACACGGCATCCATTCAATCCGATCAATGGCATCACTGCTTTGTCTTTCATCATATCCCGATCCCGCTCCCGCTCTTGCATCTGCTCGCCGACGTTCGTTTGCGCCTACCTGCCTCTGGCGGCTTCCGGTTCCTTTCAATTGGCGCCATTGACGGCGAGATGAGGTTTGCGGGCCCAGAAAAAGTAGTTGCACTCCTGGGTACCGGGCCAATTTGTGCCGCTGGGGGCGAGGGTCCAGCTCGACTTCCAGGGGAGGTAGGCGGTCCCGCGCGTCTCGTAGATGAGCCTCTGCGGTCGTTGGCCCCCTTGCTGACCCTGTTGCCCTTGCTGGTGCGGGTGGAACCACTTGAGGTCGTTCTGGAAAAAGGCGACGATTTCGTCCGGGTTGATGTACTGCGAGTGGGTGTGGGTTCCGGGCGTGACGAGGCGGAGGAGGTGCTCGGCCATGAAGATGGTGAGGAAGTAGGATAGCGGCGTGCGTGCGATGGTCGATAGGAAGATGTGGCCTCCCGGCTGGCGGTTGACGTCGAGGCAGGAGCGGGGGAAAATGGGGGGATGAGCAATCGAGAAGCCCCCGAGTTCGTGCAACCCGACCTGGTGCAAAGACGTGCGGGGGAAAGAGGGGCAGGAGGGCTCACCTTGACGAGTTTGTCGAGGCACCGCAGGAACTCGGCGGGTCCGTTGACGTGTTCAATGACCTCCATCGCGCAGACAATGTCGAACTGGGCGCCCTCGGCCAGGACGTCTTCGGCGGTAGAGTGGCGGTAGGTGAGGCAGGGTCCGCCCAGCGGGTGCGGCCGCGAGAGGAGCGGGTCCTTTGCGGCGTGGGTCGTGGCGATCCCGATGTTGGACGACGAGGCGTCGATGCCCGTGGTGCGCGCGCCGAGCCTTGCCAGACTCTGCCAAGGGCGAGGCTCGGGAGCAGCGGCGGCGGGAGGAGAAGACGAGCGAGCGAAGAGAGATGGAAGTGTCGTCGGCGGGAACGGCGGAGGGTTGCGGGTCGAGATTGGGTTCAGACGGGTTCGAGCGGACGGGCAGGGTGGCAGACGGAAAGGCGACGACGGTACTCACCTCGCTCAGCAGGCCACCGCCACACCCTACATCGGCCACATCCAGGCCCTCGAGGAACCGAACGCGACCCGGTGTGGGTCCGCTCGCCTCTGCCCCCGGTTCGCTACCACCGCCGGCGCCACCGGACGAGTGGGCGCGGACCTGTGCCTCTGCTGCCTCCCAGCCCCACACCTCGTCGAGCTTTTCGCGCATAAACTGGATGCGGGCCGGGTTCATGGCGTGGAGCAGGCCAAACTCGCCGTGCTCGTCCCACCATTGTGACGAGAGCCGGCTAAAGTGCTCGATCTCGGACGGGTGGATCGAGGAAAACGGCGCGCTGCCTGTCTTGGACGACGAGGGCGGGGGCGAGTGCGAGTGCGAGTCGAGGCGGACGCGAGAGGTCGAGGCGAAGCTGCGCGGTGCGCCGATGGCCATACTCGATCCATTTGCGGCTGCTACGGCGGCGGGCGTGGATCTGCACGAGGCGCGCAGTGAGGACGGCGGCGACGGCAGCGGCGACGAAGGGAGACAAAGGACAGGTGGCTGTGTCAGCCCCGTCTCTGCCAGGCTTACACGATCGTCGGACAATTTGCGGCAGACGTCCGGTCGACGTGACGGGACTCACTCGCAGGCGACCAGGTGAGGCGACGCTGCTGTTCGCGTGGCTCGACGGGCGAGGGCGCGGGTGCCGTGACGGAGCATGGCGGGCGAGGCGAGATGATGAAAGGTGGGCCCGGCGGAAGAGGTGGTGGTGGCAAGGTATCAAGAGAAGTGCAAATTGGAAAAGAGGGGAAGAAGGGGTGCAGGCGGAAGCAGCGGTGTGTGGAAAGACGGGCGTAATTATACAAGCAGGCGAAAAGGGGACCAGGACAAGGTGGGCACGGTTGATGATAGAGCAGAGGGCGGACCTGTGAACGCGACAGCGCAGAAGGATGGAGGGCCAAAGGGGGGTTCAGTCTCTCTGCCTCGTCTGCTATTGCTGCTGAACGGTGATGGCGGTGGGTGTTGGTTGTTTCAGGAGGTTTGGCTAATAGCGTAAATGCCAACCTCTTGGGGTTGTGTCGGCACACATGCAATACGATTGGTGCCAGCAATGCACGGGATGGTTCATCATTCGACGGGAGGTGGGAAGGGGTGCAGAGGAGATGGCAGGATGCTTACCGAGGCGAGAGGCGAGGAGTGGGCGCGGTGCTGAAAGGAATGGGGTGGTAGGGGTGGTGGTGATGGTAGTGGCGAGGAGGGGGTGGGTGGCCCCCCCTGCTTTATTCGAGCCGATGGCGGAAGAGGCCGGCCGTTTCTTCTTGGTTTGCCTGGCCTGGCCTGGCTCGCTGGTAGGCGCGGGCTCGATTTTCCTCATCGCCCGCTCCAAAGGCGGCTGGGGTGAGAGAGAGAGAGAAGAGCGCGGGCAGACCGCAGCAGCCGGTGGCGCGGGTCGGGTTGGGTGTGGCCAGGCCGTGGGGGCCATCTCAGCTCGCACGAGAGACTTCAACTCATAGCCTCCTCCACACGGCCTGGCCTGCCCTCGGTGCCTTTTGGCGGTGCCTTTTGGCGCTGGTGCCACCGGTGCACGGCTCAAGCGGCCAACAGATAGACAACCTGGCATGCTCCGTTGGCTCGTTTGCCCCCTGGCCTCCTTTGCCTCTCTTTCTTTGCCTCTCGCCCCCCTTGGCGCATCCCGCGCCTTGTCAGCCACGACCACCTGCCATGCCATCGCTCCTCTCCTGCTTTGGCGGGAGCACCGAGTCCTCCAAGCCATCCCCTTCGGTCCAGACACCTCTGCTACCCACACAGCAGCAACCACAGCAGCATGGCCACGCGGGCACCCGGCCCGTCGACAAGTCCGTCGATGCGAGCCGCTGCGTCTTTTGCGCCATCACCCCCGATCGCTTCAACATCGTCCTCGAGGTGAGCAGCAACGGCGCGCCTGTCGGTCTCAACGGGCGCGGCCACCGAAGCGCTGACACGTTGGCCGGCTACGTCCTGCCTCGACTCTGCCCCCGTAGGACGACGACTACATCTGCTTCACCGATCGCTCGCCCGCAGCGCAGCACCACCTTCTCGTCGTGCCGCGCATCCACATTGCCAACGTCAAGAGCCTCACGGCGCAGCACGTTGGAATGGGTGAGTCGGGCGCGGTCGCGTCTCTGCTGCCACCCTCCTCGCGCTCACCACGGCCTCGCCTCGCCTGGCCTGCCCCGTCCCTCTCTGCACCAACGACAGTCCGAGAGATGCAGGCGCTGGGTGCAAAGGCGCTCCAGGTCGTCTCGCCCGATGCCAAGGCCGAAAGGCGCTTCGGCTTCCATGTACGTGGTCTCTCGTGCCCCTCGAAGCCGTCCGTGCAGGTCGCACCGACTGACTGGCAAGCTCACCTGCGGACGCCCTTCACCTTTCCTCTGCGTGCACCATCCGCCACCGCCTCGTGTGCAACATGCACCAGATCCCTCCATTTACCAGGTAGGTTCATGCCCTCCCACCTTCCTCTGGCGTGTCAAGCTCTCGTCCAGCCCTGACCCTCGCTCGACCTTCTTCCTCTTGCCTGCCCCGCAACGTCGTGCCAGCGTCGATCACCTGCACCTGCACGCCCTCGAGCTGCCCTTCCGCTCGTCGTTGCGCTCTCTCAAGTACCGCATCGCCGCCCCGCCATCGAGCGGCTACCACAAGGGATGGTCCTGGTTCGCCGAATATACCCAGGCGTGTGGCATCCTCGCCGACGGAGGCAGGGTGTCGGTCGGCAGATGCTGAATCCATCGCCTCTGGCCTACGTACTTAGACGCGTCCAAAGATATACCCCTTCCGTACCCCTCTGGCAATGCCGTGATGGTATCGTGTGCTGCCAAGGCGGGACCGTCGTGCGGCCGCCCCTCTGGCGTACTGCAAAAGCAGGCTGGTACGCGCGGCAAAAGGTGCCGGGCTCGTGGAAAGAGGGTTTCTGTGCGGGGGGAGAAAGGACGAGAGCGAGCGCGTGCATCTATATCTACATTGGTCGAGGGCAAGGTTGGTCGAGGGCAAGGGGACAAGGGGGCCGATGGAAAGAGTAGCGGAATGGACACGGAACGACAGGAGGGTCGGGTACAGTTAAGGTGACGGCCGAGGCAAGGGCACGGTGAGGCAAGATGGGGGCGGAGCTGTGGCCTGCGGCTGCGGCTGAGGCGGTGGCTGCGGCCGGGGCTGGGACGAGACCGAAGAAGAGTGGCGAGGCGATGGCGGATCCGGATCGAGCGGATCGCGGCGGCAAAAGAAGAGGGGCGGATGCGCAAGCATGCAAGATGGGGCTGCCAGATATGCAGAGGGGACGACGGGCAGGGATGATGGTGGATGCATAGGAGAGGGCTCGTGGTGATGGTGCAGGGGCTCGAGAGAGAGGGGGAGAGAGAGAGAGACCGAGCGCGGATGCGATGGTTGACGATGGTCCGAGGCTGGGCGGTTTTGCAGGGTGGATCTGGGCCGAGTGGTGGAAGCTCCGTCCTGGGGCTTCGTCCATGACGAGGGCAGCGCCAAGGCCAAGGACGATGCCGAGGACGAGGAAGAACGACGACGCGGGCTTCAAAGGACGAGGCATTTGCGACCACCTCCGCTCCCTCCTCCGCCCCCGCCTCCTCCTGCTCCTCCTCCGCCTCCGCCGCCCTTGCGCCTCCCCCACTTTTTCCGGCATGCCTCTCGCATCGCGGCGTCAAAGACCTGCTTTACGCCTTCCTTTGTCTTTGCCGAGCACTCGACGTAGCGGGCGGCGCCGATCTCGCGCGCGACGGCCTCTCCCTGCGCGGGGGACACGGGCTTGATACCCTGCGCGCTGAGCATGGCGAGGCTGCCCGGGTCCTTGCGGAGGTCGGTCTTTGTGCCGACGAGGAGGATGGGTACGCCCTCGCAAAAGTGGTTGATCTCGGGATACCACTTGTCCTGGACGTTTGCGAGGGAGACGGGGAAGTCGACGGCGAAGCAGATGAGGATGACGTCCGACTCGGGGTACGAGAGCGGGCGGAGACGGTCGTACTCTTCCTGGCCCGCCGTGTCCCAGAGTGCGAGCTCGATGGTCTTGCCCTCGAACTGGATGATGGGCACGTAGTTTTCAAACACGGTGGGGACGTACTCCTCGGGGAAGCGGTGCTCGGAGTAGACGATGAGGAGGCACGTCTTTCCGCAGCCGCCGTCGCCGACGACGACGAGCTTTTTTTTGAGGTCGATCTGGGGCCGCCCGGGCTGCTGGGTAAAGGGGCCCTGGCCTGGTGGCGCGTCCGAGAGCGACGAGCCGGTGTGGTACGAGTTCATGTGCGGGCGCGGTCTTGGGCCGTTGGGCGACGGCGGGCGGGATGGGGCGGTGGTGGTCGTGGCGGTGGCGGTGGCGGTGGCGGTGGAGATGACTGGTGAAGGTGGCGGGCCGAGGTGGAAGATGGAGGATGGGTTCCGGGGGCCAGAGAAGACTGAGAGGCTGTCTGGCAGCGGGTCGGGGCAGTGGGTGGTTTGTGTTGCTCTCTGGCCTCTGTGGCTCTCCTAGCCAGTCGGTCGGTTGCTGGGCGCAGCCTGGTTGCCTGGCTGCCCGCCTGCCTGGCTGCCCGCCTGGCTGCCTGCAGACGAGACGCGCCGCTGCCCGCGTCGAGCGAGCCACGGGCCCACGTACTCTGCCTGCCACCTCTCTGGCCTGGAGGCGTGCCACTGGCATCACGTGCAACGCCCTGGAAAAAGAAGCTCAGCCAAGGTGGAGGCAGGCGGGCCGAGCTGCCCTTTTTGGCCGGTGCGGGGCGTTGGCTTGTGGGCGTCGTTCATTTCTTCCATGCCCTCACCTCGCCTCGTCGCCTTTGCTTCATCTGCATCTGCCCTTGGCTACTTCCTCGACTGCCTGCTGGCCTGCGCTGTCACCTGGACGAGGCGGTGCGACCATCCGCGCATCCCAAACATCCCGCACAAACCTCCCGCCTTGCCATCACCACCACCGCCCGCCTCGACCACAATGACGACCCACAACGGCCTCCTCTCCCAGCCATCGGCATCGGACGGCCCAGACATGGCCCAGCTCATCCGCACCGCACACCGACACGCCCTCGACATTGCCACCTTTGATGCCCTCGAAGACGTCCTGCAGGCCTTTGTCATCACCCACTTCACCCGCCTCATCCCCCAAGGCTGCACGCCGCAAGAGATTGGCATCATGCTCCCATCCCACCAAGAGACCCAGACCATCGTAAAGCAGCTCGCAACCGCAAGGATACGCGAACACGCCTTCGGAAAGCTCGTCGCCAGCCTCGGCCTCGTCCTCAGCGATCGTCCCGGCCAGCATCTACCACCGGCAGCTGCAGCCGCCGCCGCAGCCACCATCGACTCGTCGACCATGTCCGCCCTCGTCGCCATCCTCGCCATCGAGTCCCAGCACAAGCCCGACTTTTCCCACTTCGTATTTGACCACGTGCCCCTCTTCCAGCACATCGAGCAGCAGAAGCGCCACGGACCCCTCGCAGGCGATCCGGCGTGGGAGTACGACCTCAACCTCAACAAGAACCGCCAGTGGAAGCGCGCCGTCGATCGCAGCATCGCAGACATCACTGCCGCCTTTGTGCAGGCGAGCAACGACATCGACTGGCACAAGCAGGTCGATGCTAGCGGCGACATTGCCCTCCTCGCCCAGGCCGACCTCTTCGAACTGACCAGGATACTGGTCGAGCTCGCGCCAAAGGACAAGCAGCGAAAGGAGCCCATGGCACCGCTACCGCAGCCCCAGCCAGAGGGCGCGGATCTCGAGCAACCCGAGCCCGAGCCCGAGCCGCCAAAGGGGCTTTCGGTCAGGAATGCCATCAAGGCCGGCAGCTCCTGTCGCGCCCGGCTGCAGGCCGCATGCAAGGAAACGGCCAATGCGGCCTTCAGCCAGGGCCATTACGACGAAGCCGAGAGGCTCTACGGCATCGTCGACGCAGCCGCCAATGGCGAGCGCGACGCCAGCGTGCTCCTCAACCGCGCCGCCGCCCTGCTCAAGCTCGAGCGCTTCGCCGAGACAATCGAGGCAGCGAGCGTCGCTCTCGAACTCCTCACTCGCCGCACCGACGCCAAGAGTCGCAACCTGACGTGGAAGGGCTACCTGCGCCGAGGCAAGGCTCGCCGGTCGCTGCTGGCGCAGCGCGATGCGGCATCGCCGGACAGGACCGAGCTCATCGACCTGGCCAGGAAGGACTTTGAGGAGGCGGCCAGGATCGACCCCAAGGATCCGACGGCGCAGGCGGAGCTCGATGCGCTCGAAGCCGAGCTCGGCCGGCAAAGCACAGCCGATGCGGCGGCCGCCGCCGCCGCCTCGGATGCGAATCCGCCCAAGGCCAAGGAGAAGACGATCCTCGAGTCGCCCTTTTTCCGCGCGGACCTCGTGACGGGCCTGCTCGCCGACACGCTGCGGGCGCCGGCGTTTCCGCTGTCGGCCATCATGAAGCTGCTCTCATCGACGAGTGCGACGGCCAAGACAGCGACGGCGACGGCTGCGCCGAGCACGCAACGATCCGACGAGGAGGCGTGTGCGTCCGAGCACCGCGCGCTCGTTTCGACCCTGACGGCCGAGGGACGCGCGCAGCTCGAGGAGAGCATCAAGCACATCGGCGCCGTGCTTGCTCTGCCGCACTATCAGAGCGCACCTGCCCCTCCAACGACGACGACAGCGGCGGCGTCAGCGGTCGACGAGAGGGAGTGGAAGCTCCTGACGACGTCGATGCGGCTGCTGATGGGCTGCTGCGCCATGCTGCTCGATGCCGTCGTGAGGGCGCAGAGCGACATCCAGCTCGTATCCGACGCGCTGCGACCGGACGTCAAGGGACGACGGGACCGCATCACCGCCGACCGCGACGACGGTGCTTCCACCGGGACCAAAACCGACGCCGGTGCCGGAGCCGAGGTGGTCGAGAGGTTGCTGCACCGTGTCCAGGGCGATGCGCTGTGTATGCTCCAGCGGTGCTGCAGCCTCCAGGGTAAAGCGCACGAGGCCGACAAGTTTGCAAGGTGGCTCGACAAGTGGCGCTCCTCCTCCTCCTCTTTATCGTCGTCCTCGAGTCAGGCCGGAGATGGGCGCGGGCCCGGTGTGGATTCGTTGGAGTGGTTTGTTTGGCTGGTTGAGAGGCTGAATGAGCAGGGTCAGATGAGGAGGTGAAGAGGCGGTCAAAGGGGGGGATGAGGGGATGCGGGGAAGGTGATGCAGGATATGCTCCCGGACGATGCCATCTCGGCACTCGATGGGTGGGACGACGAGTTCTATTGCACGCAACAGCCCGGAGCAGTGGGGGCGCGGCTGGTGAGCGATCAGCCTTCGTCTTCGCGGTCGCGCTTCCGTTTCCTGCAAGAGCGTACCGTGGCGAGATGGAAAACGAAACAAAGATCGAGGAGCATGTCAGCTAGATGCACCGACGAACAGACTGATCCGACGTCGAGCGGCGCGGCGCGGCGTGGCGCGGCGCGGCATCGACGATCACCGCGAACGGGGGACTCACATTTCGCGCGTCATTTTCGTCTGTGCGGCGGGGTGCCTAGCGAGTTCCTGGGGCAGCTTGGAGATGGGGCTCTTTGCAATCTCCTGCTTGAGGTCGTACATGACTTCGTCGTCGCCGCTGTCGAGAAAGGTGATGGCGACGCCGCGCTTGCCCGCTCGGCCCGTACGGCCGATGCGGTGGACGTAGGCCTCGATGTGGTTGGCCATCTGGAAGTTGACGACGAGCGACACGTCGGGCACGTCGATGCCGCGTCCCGCCAGGTCGGTGGCGACGAGCACGGGACACTCGCCCGAGCGCAGCGACGCCAGCGCCTCTTCGCGCATCGCCTGCGTCTTGCCCGAGTGCAGCACCGCGGGGTACCACCCGGCCCGCTGCAGGTCCTTTCCCAGCGCGTCGGCCGCCTTCTTCTGGTTGACAAAGACAATCATGGGCGGCGCGAAGCCGCCCGTGTTGAGGATCTGCAGCAGCCGCGCCTTTTTCTTTTCCTCCGAGTGGATAAACTCGACGACCTGCTCCACGGTGCCCACCGCCTGGTTGGCGTCGCCGATGGTGATGGTGGCGGGCCGCCGCAGGTACTTGCGCGCCATCCGCTCCACCGTCGCCGGCATAGTGGCCGAGTAGAGCATCGTGACCCGGTACTTGTCCATGCGCGACTCGCCCTCGCGCCGCAGCAGCTTGAGCGGGTCCTCGGCGTCGTCGGTGTCGGGCTTGAGGTTGCTGACGGGCAGGCTGTCGAGGATGTAGTTGACCACCTCCTCGAAGCCCAGGTTGACCATGCGGTCCGCCTCGTCCATGACGACGTACGTGCACTGGCTCAGCACCAGCACGTGCCGCTCGACGCAGTCCTTGAGCCGCCCGGGCGTGGCGATGACAATCTCGGCGCCCTCCTGCACCGAGATGGCCTGCTCGTTCATGTCGCGACCGCCCACGATCGACACGCACTTGTACCCGAGCTTGCTGGCAAACTTGCGCGTCTCGCCCTCGATCTGCTGCGCCAGCTCGCGTGTCGGCGCCAGGATCAGCGCATAGGGGCCCAGGTGGCGCGTCGCCTCGGTCAGCGGCGGCAGCTCCGAGATGTAGGCCAGCATCGGGATGACAAACGACGCCGTCTTGCCCGAACCCGTCTCGGCGATGCCGATCAGGTCGCGGTTCTGCAGGCCGATGGGGATCGCCTGCCGCTGGATCGGAGACGGGTCCGTGTAGCCAATCTCCTGGATCGCCTCCATAATCGGCCGCGGGATCGACGACTCCTTCCACGAGCGGATCGGCTTGGGGATGTTGCCTCCGCGCGCGGCGATGCCAAAGTCTTCGCGGAAGATCCTCCAGTCGCGCTCCTTCATCTCGTCGAGCGCCTTTTCGCTCCAGTGCTTTTCGTCGAATGCGGAGCGCACGCCGCGCTTGACCAGGCTGCCGCCGCCCGAGCCTCCCGGGCCTGAAGTGCCACCGTCCGAGGCGCCGTGGTCCAGCCGCCCGTTGCGGTGCAGCGGGTCGGTGCCGCCGCGACCTCCGGCGCCGAACAGGCTCGGCTCCATGCTCGTCGAGTAGACCGGGTTGATCTTGTCGCTCGTGTCGTCGTCGTCTCTCCAGTCAAAGTTGAAGCGCTTGTCCGTGGCCTTCTTCTTGGGCTTCCGCTTGATCTCCTTGAGGCCGAGGTAGCGCTGCCGGATCAGGTCCTGCTCGGCGTCAGTGATGGGCTTCTCTGAGGGGCCAGAGGCCGAGGTTCCGGCAGGGGCGGCGCTGGACGAGATGTTGCCGTTGCCGTTGCCGTTGCCGGAGTGGACGCCGCCGCTGCCGTTCTGATGCGGCCGATCGCCATATGGACGTCCGCCCCCTCCTCGAGGATCGCCCGCAGGTCGCCCTCTATCGCCTCTTGGGCCTCTTTGCGGGGCATGGCTGCGATCGTCGTCGTAATTGAGCGATACCCCGGCGTCTCGGCTGTAGTCGGTGTCGCGCGGATAGCCGCCGTCGCGGTCGCGTCCGCGGTCGCGATCCCTCAGCGAGGATGACGACGACGAGGATGGTCCGGAAGCATGGCGGTGGTGGTCGTTGTAGGTCGAGGACGAAGAGGACGCCGCGGCCGACCTCGCCTTCTCCTCGAACTCGATGCGCCTCCTCTTCTCCTCTTCCTGCTTTCGCTTCTGTTCCTCTTGCTGCTGCTGCTGGGCGAGCTGCGCCTGCTGCTGCCGCTGCGCCTTTGTGAGGAACTTGGGCTTGAAGGCCGACTCTTGCTTCTGGCGCTGCAGGATCTCTTCTATCGACAGCGGCTGCTTGGACATGGTCGGCGAGCGCAAAGCGTTGCGTTCCTGTACGCTGGTGCGGCGAAAAGGGGGACACGAGGTGTGCGGGCGCGGTGGTGGCGAAGTCGGTAGGGCGGATCGCGGTGGCGCAAGAGAAGCAGTGAGCGAGTGGCCCACCTGAGGCTGCGAAAGTGGAGCAAGCCGGCAGGCCAGCCCCCTGCCGCCTCGGATCCGCTGCAGGTTGGCAGGCAAGAAAGAGCAAAAAGAAAAGAGAAGTTGCCTCATAGCCGATTTGAACGACTGACCTCGTCATGACCGCGGACCCAGGTTATTTACTAGTGACGCGCTCTACCACTGAGCTAATAAGGCGTCACATGACGAAGGTCCAAATACACATAATCACTAAGCTATATCGAGAGCTGCTCATCAGGCTCCTGCAGGGGACCAACACGGCCATCGAGCGCGGCCGGGTCCTGCCGCGACCGTGCACAATGGTAGCATACCGCTATCAGGGCGACTCCACCGTCGCCAGCTTCTCTTCCGATGATACCGCTAGGGTCTAGGTCACCTCATGGCCTCGGGAGACGAGCCAACGGGCTCCTGTGATGCGGCACCTGGGCCAGCCGCTTCCTTTGCCGGTGGACAGGCTCTAGCGCGCACTGTACACCGCCGGAAAGCCTTGATGAGCTTCGTTGAACCGCGAAAGAGATGCTTGTGATACTAGTACGGGGTCGATGGGCAAGAGAGGTCGAGATGGAGCCAAGCGGAGCAGGTAGCCAGACGATGGACCCGCTCTCAGGGCTAGCTAGAGTTCAAGGTCGGAAGGCCGAAAGGCTTCACACGCGGAGGTGGAGCGGGGTCTCGCTGGGCGGCAGAAGAGCAGGCCGGGTGCTACGGATCCACGGCGGACTCGGAATGCTCGACTGCAGGGTGGCACGGCCTTGGTCGATGCCGGTGTCTGCGCTCGATACTTCCCTTTCGGTCCGAAAGGGATGGCATGCTCTGTCCTGCGAGACAGCATGCCGAGGAATGATGAGGCGCTCGGCGTCACCTCGGCCCATTGGCGCATCTCCTCGCAGACGTTCTGAGAGCAGCGCTGCCCGAATCCCTTGAGCGCGAACAGGTGTTGCCGAACCCGCTCGTGATGGAAACGCTTCTGCGCACGGATGACGAGGGACCGCTGACGGTGTCGGTGGAGCGGGCGAGGCGTTTCATCGTAGAGCTTCGTGTCGCTTCGTGTAGCACCGGACCGGACGGCTTCGTTCGACGTTGTGGCCTGTCGGAGGCAAAAGCAGGTAGTGATTTACGGAAGAAGTAGAGAGAACACAAACGCAAACCTTCACATCCGTTGCAGAGGTTCGCCATCTAGTCTACATCTTTGCGCCCTGGGGCTTGACGAGCTTGAGCTGCTGGCGGACGCCGAGGTCGAGGAGCACATCCTCGCTGCCTCCGGGCACGGTCAAGGCTGCGGGGAGCGCAAGCACGCAGGGTCGGGTGCAAGGGTCAGCATGGCCGTAGCAGGCGCGCACGGTGAACCCGCAGTCTTTGATGGGACCGAGAGACTTACCCTTGAGCTCCCTCCAGATGCGCTCGATGCGGTCGCCGGTGCCGCCCTTGGTCAGCCCCATGCCGCCGAGGAGGTGCACGGCGTCTCGGCAGACGTGCTCGAGGACGATGCCGGCGTGGGCCTGCGCGGGCGCGATGGCGGGGATGAGGTCGCTTTAGTCACGGTCCCTTCCCGGTGGCAAGCCGTGCGGCGGGCGACTCACCTTGAGCAGACCGCAGGTGCCGCCGGTCAAGAGGTTGGACTGCTCTGTGGACAGGTGCAGCTGCGAGTAGACGACCGACTCGACCCAGGCTTGCAGCGCCTCGACCTCTCTGGCCATGTGTCCGATCTGCCAAGTGGGGCCAGAGACGAGAGTCAGCCGCGGGGGCGGAGCGGGCGGCAAGCGGCAACGGCGACGACTCACCTTGTGACGGACGACGGGCTGCTCGATGAGCTTCTGGCCAAACACCTCGCGTCGCCGGGCGTGGGCGATCGAGTCCTCGAGGCTGCCGAGCGGGGGAGCGGGGACGGCCGATCAGCACGCCGAGGTCGACCGAGGAACACCCTGCGCACACTACTCACCAGACGCGGGCGTAGCGCAGCGCGGTAAAGGCGATCGTCATGCGCTCGTGGTTGAAGTTGTAGAAGACGAGGCGCAGGCCCTCGCCCTCCTTGCCGATGAGGTTCTCGACGGGCACCTTGACGTCCTGCGAGGCTCGCACGTGGTCAGGCGGGTCGTGGCGTCAGCGTCAGCTCGGACCGGCGAGCCGCATCGCGATGCGCACTCACGTCAAACTCGACGAGCGTGGTGCCGGAGCCGCCGCCGCCCATCATCTTCATGTGCTTGGTCGTGACGCCCTCGCCGCGCGGGATGAGGAGCATCGAGATGCCGTGAGCGTCGCCGGCCTTGCCCGAGGTGCGGACGGCGGTGGTGAAGTAGTCCGAGTAGATGCCGTTGGTGATCCCTGCGGTGTAGGCGGCGGCAGAGGCGGTCACCGTCGGCACGGGGCGTCAGCGTCGTTGCAGCCAGAGGTTTAAAGCCACGAGGCCGGCCCCGCACTCACACTTCTTGTTGCCGTTGACGATGTAGTACTTGCCGCAGTCGCTCTTGACGGCCGAAGTGCTCAGGTTGGCGACGTTGGATCCGGCGAGGGGCTCGGTAATGGCGAGGCAGATGCGCTTCTTTCCGGCAAAAATGTCGGGCAGCCACTTCTGGCGCTGCTCCTCGCTGGCAAAGTGGATGATGGGGCCGGCCTGCGTGAGAAGAGTGGAGAGGAGCAGGTGGCTGCGTCAGTCGGGATCACGCCGTGCCGCCATCGATGGCGCGAGGTGCCCTACGCACGCCGTAGGTCAGGCCGCCGACGAGTCCCATGACGGCGGCGCTGCTTGCACAGCGGTTGAACTCGTCCCAGATGATGCTGCGGGCGAAGACGGGAAGGGAGGGACAGAAGGCGGAAGCAGATGCTCAGCGCGAGCGGCTCCCGTCGTAGACTGTGGCGGCGGCGTTCCTCGTCCTCCGACCGCACGCACTAGTCGTGGATGTTGTTCCACTCGGACGGCTTGATGCCGGCAGGCAGCTCGATGCCCTGCGCTTTGGCCATGTCGGCAAACTTCTGGGGGACGCGGACTCCGAGCTGTGAAGAGGCGAGGTAGTCCGGCATGCGCGGACCGTCAGCCCGTGCCGCGTCGAGCTGTCACGCAGATGAGTCTCCACGGCGAGACTTACGGCAAAGACGAGGAGGACGCCGTCCTTGGCGGCCTGGCTGTAGGCGTCATTGTCGGTGATGATGCCGGCTGTGCGCGGGGAAGGGGCAGGGGCAGTGGGTAGCCAGGGGGCGGCTTCAGCGGGTCGGCGAGGGCGGCAGGCACGACGAGCGAGGTGGACCAGGACCTCTGCGTGCACCCACCTTCCTCGTACTTTGCGGCAGCGGGCATGAGGACGTCGTCGCACCACTTCCTCGCCCATTCTCGCAGCCTGTAGTGGGACTCTTCGGTGAAGATGGACGAGGGCAGGCCGGTGATCCTGGCGGGAGCGGGAGCGGGTGGGCAGAGACGAAACACGGAGCCGGTCAGCCGTGCGATGCGGCGCTCAACGAGAACGGCGGTCGCTGGACTTACCAAGCGGCCTCGCTGAAGGGCACGGTGGGCCTGGTGAGCTTCGTGGTGGGCATGGCGGGCGTAGGCGTAGTTTCGACGAGTGTAAGAGAGGGGGGTAGTAGATGGTGGTAGGGAAAGATGTCGACCGCACGGCCTAGGACGGGCTGCACGCAGCAGGAGGCAGGCAGGCAGGCAGGCAGGCAAGGCTGGCAAGGCTGGCAGGCGGGGAGGCGGGGAGGCCTGGGAGCCTTTCACGCCAGGGCGGCTGGCTAGCTCGCGTGGCACGGGCGCACACCGGCCCCTCGGCTCGCTCTCAATCCCGGGTGCCAGAAAAAAAGCAGGCGAGCCAGCAAGCGGTCCCTTTGCCCAGGAATCGAAAGCAGGAGGGGCAGTGGCGCGGGTTCAATTCCCGTAGTGGTCTTCTTTTTTTTCCAGGTCCTCCACCTGGGAGTCTTACTTTTTCCCTGTCGCCCCCTGATGTTGTCTGCTAGGGCAGCACCTCTTTGACCGTGCCGCCCCTATCCTTGCGTGTCAACGTCGAGTCCAAGGATCGTACCTTGAGGGCTGCAGCGGTACAGCCGGAAGGGGTCAACCTGCTTCCAGCCTCAGATTCTGAGAATCTGTCTCATTTTATTTCTTGGTCAATTTCGCGCACGTTTTCTGTTGGGCTCCACATGGCAGCGGGCCCGCTCAATCATCGCCGCCGGACCACCACCACCACCACTACCACGACTACCACCGCCACCCTTTTCGCCCGCCTCGCCTTTTGACGCAACCACCTATCCAGCATGCTACGCAGCCAGACGGCGAGGCGCGTGGCGTCTTCGTCGGCGTCGACGCTCACTGCACGACCGCAGAGCCTGGCGCCGGCCCGCTCCCTCGTCCGATCCGCCTCGACTCGCCCCTCGGCAGCGGCGCCTCTGGCCCTGTTCCCTCACCCTCTCGCCTCGAGAGCCACGCCGGGGGCGCCTCGCATGGTGCTAGCCTCTGTGCGGCCCTTTTCCGTCCACAGCGCCGTGCCCAAGCCGCAACCGGATCCTCGACGTCCGGAGCAAGAGCAAGAGCAAGAGGAGCAGGACAAGGAGGACGAGGAAGAGGAGCGCAAGGCGAGAAAGGGCTCGCTCAAGGACCGACTGCGCTATCTGACCCGGCGGTACGGGTGGTGGGCGCTGGGCGTCTACCTGGCCGCGTCGTCGGTCGACCTGGGCCTGACGTTTGCGGCCATCCACATGCTGGGCGCCGACCACATCCGCCAGCTCGAGACGCGGGTGCGCGACGCCGTCGGCCTGTCGAAGCGGCAAGAGAGCGACGAGGAGCGCGAGCAGCGCGAGCAGGACGAGCGAGACCAGCAGCAGCCGGGCGCCGCGGGCGCCGACAAGAAGCGGCAGGGCGGCAGCAGCACCATCTGGACCGAGCTCGTGCTCGCCTACACGATCCACAAGACGCTCCTCCTGCCCGTCCGCGTCGCATTCACCGCCGCCGTCACGCCCAGCTTTGTCAAGTGGCTCGTCAAGATGGGCTGGGCCAAGTCGGCCGCCGCCGTACGAAAGGCCGCAAAGGAAGCCGCCATCAAGAAGGCGGCCAAGAAGGCGGCCAGCTCGTAGGCGTGCCGGTCGCCGGCGCCGGCCGTCGGCGCCCGCAGAGCGCCCAAGGCGAGGAGCCTGGCGGGCGCTCAGAGGGGATCCGAGGTCGAGACAAAGCAACGGGAGAAAAGTAGGCGCACGGAGAGGGGCCTGTACAACCACCATTCCGCTCAGCGCAAATGCCATCGCACCGCAACAAAGCTCCATCGACGCGCGCTCCGGCGCCCTGTCCGCCACGTCACAGTCTGATCGACAAAGGAGGGATTGTTTTTGAAGCGGAGGCGGCGCGCTGAGTCTCGACAAGGAAGAACAGCGATGGACAGACGACAAAGATCTGAGCGTGATCGAGCGGAGTGAACGGCATCGCCGGCGGCACCGGACAATGGACGGAGACGAGGCGAAGGGACAGAGGGAAAGGACGAAAGAGGGAACGGATCTGGTGCCCGGTGAGGGCGCACCCGAAGCGCCACAGAGGCGCCATCGAGGCAAAAGGGACGGACAGTGGTGCGAAAAGGCGGCGAGGAGGATGGCTGTGTGCGGCGGATGCGGGCGACGGACGCGGGCGACTACTTGGCCCAGCGCTTCCAGTTGCGAGCACGAGCGGGACGATGGCCGAGACCCCTCCTCTGCGGCGCATCGTAGACGTTCTTGGTCGAGGGCGTGTTGGCAGGCTCGTCCTTGCTCGACCCATCGTCGGTACCCTTGGGCTCGTGCTTGCTCGACCCGCCGTCGGTGCCCTCGGGCGCATTGTAGACGTTCTTGGTAGAAGGCGTGTTGGCGGGCTCGTTGCCGCTGGGCTTGTCGGTGGGCTCGTTGCCGCTGGGCTTGTTGCCGCCGTGAGAGCCAAAGAGCGGGTTCTTGGAAGGGCCAGAGCTCGGTGGGGCGCCTCCGATGCAGCTGTCGTCGTACGGACCGCAGGAAGGAGCGCCGCCCGGCGAGCGGCCACCAGGAGTACCACCAGTCGAAGGCGAGTTCGAGGGACCAGAAGAGGGCTGCGACGGTCCGTTGCTGGGGCTGTCTCCGCCAGGCTGGTCGCCAGAGGGAGGGCTGCCGCCAGTGCCACCCGACGTGCCAGACTGGCAGGTGCTCGAGACCTTGGCGGAACCCTGGGCAGCCAGCCGCTGAAGGCCGTAGGAAAAGGCGTCGACCTGCGGGACTGTCAGGTTCATGGTGAGGAGCAGCTTGTACAGGTCCGGCAGCTGGAACTCGAGCGCAACGACGCCAGCGCCGATGGCTGGAGCAGGGCTGGAGCCACCGGCGGCGTCGGAGGGCGACTGCGAGGACGCAGCCGGGCACTGCTTCGGGTTGATGACCTGCTGGATCAAGATGGGCGGAGCCAGAGGACCGCAGTCACCCGGGCCAGGAGGGGTGTCGCCACCTCCAGACGACGGTGGAGGAGCCGAGGGGCCGCCAGAGCTGATGCCAGGCGTAGGGGGCGACGGGGGCGACGAGCCACCGGGAGGAGGCGTAGCGTTGTCAGGAGGAGGAGAGGGAGGCGTGTCGTTGCTCGGAGGCGCAGACGGGCTCGAAGGCGGCGACGGCGGCGGCGGGCTGCCGCTTTCGCCAGAAGGAGGAGCAGGAGGCGGGCTGTCGGGGCCAGAGGGAGGCGAGGGAGGGACATCCTTGTTGCTCGGGGGCGACGGAGGCTGACCTCCTCCCGCCGCCGGCGGAGGGGCCGACGGGCCGCCGGAGCTGATGGGCGGAGGCGAGTCGTCGTGATGCTTGTGACCGTGCGAGACAGGCACGCCGGGAGGAACGCCGGCGCCATGGCCGCCGCTCGGCGTGTCGGGGGGCGGCGAGTCATTCTGCGGGGGCGACGAGGGAGGCGGCGAGTCGTCCTCCGGAGGCGAAGAGGGAGGCGGCGAGTGCTTCTTCGGGGGCGAAGAGGGAGGCGGCGAGTCGTTCTTTGGAGGAGAAGAGGGAGGCGGCGAGTCGTCCTCCGGGGGAGAAGACGGAGGCGGTGATTCGCTCTTGGGGGGCTTCGAGGGAGGAGGCGAGCCACCGTGGCTGGGCGACGGGGGCTGCTCGCGCGACGGCGGGCCTGTCGGAGGCGGGCCACCAGAGCCAGGGCTGTCAGGCGTGGGAGGCTGCTCGTGCGAGCCACCGGGCGGCGGGGTCGGGTGTCGAGAGCCACCGCTGGGAGGTCCGCCTCCCGGGCCGCTAGGGTGGCCGCCGCCGCCGCAGGTGGGCGTGTCAGCCTGGTGCCAGTTGGGCATGCCTCCCTTGCGCAGGTTCTTGCACTTGGGTGTGGGGCAGTCGTCGGGCGAGTAGTCGGGCCTGGCGCTCTTAAAGTACTTGGTCTCGCCCGGCTGCGAGCCCATGGGCGGGTAGATGCACTCGACGATCCAGTCGTGAGGCTTTTCCTCGATAATGTTGCGGGTGGTGCCCGTCGAGCAGACCGAAGACAGCACGCGCGGCTTGCCGCCGGGACCGCCGACGGCGCAGTGGTCGACCTGAGAGTCCGAGCTCGGCGGGCCGCCAACTTGGTCGGGCGTGTCGTCCGAGTCGTCCTCATCGCCACCGCCGCCACCGGGGACAGTGGGAGGGCCACCGGCGCCTCCTCCGCCTCCGGCTGCCGGAATGTGAGCCGGGTTGGGCCCGTTGGAAGCTGGGTTGTGGCTGGAACTCAGCGCCGGGCTGTCGGGCTGCTCGGGCGAAGACGGAGGAGGGGTAATGACCTGGCTGGCGCTGACCAGCCACGGCGTCGCGAGGAGGCAGATGGTGGCAAACAGGCGCAGCCTGGTCCACCTGGCGCTGGAGCTGGGCATGGTAGATAGACGCGTAGCGACACGCTGACCAGCAGGAAAGGGTGGCGGAGCGAGGGGGCGGGGCGAGGCGGAGCGGGATACGCAGAGAAAGGGAAAGGACTGTGTTCTAACCTTTGTGGACCTGGGAGCTGAGCTGGATAGGAGGAGAGCGAGGGGTGAGTGAGCTGAGGGATGGTTCTGCCTCGTCCTCGAGGCGGCTGGCCTCTTATATACCTTTCTCGCCCAATTTCGTCCACTCGAGGCACCGACTGTTCCCACCTGCGGGGCGTAGCAATAGCGGTACAGGCTAAGGCGTGGGCGCAAAAAGTGAGCAACACCAAGCTTGTAGCCCGAGAAGAAAGAGGAGCCAGCGGTCACCCCTTGCTAATGGCAACCCACCCGGTCAAAGGTCACCGCGGTGTGGGCGGCCGAAACGACGACAAAGGTTGGTGGGACAAGATGCTTGACTCGGTTCGAGGGGCCACTAGCTGGCGCACTCCCTCGCTCGTCTCGGAGGATCGAGGGTTCTCACGGCGTTTAGAGCTTCGCCTTGCCCTGAGATGGGCGCCGCTCCGGTGCCAGCTCACGCGTGTGTGCGGCGCTGACGGCGATCAGCCCGCGGTGGCCCAGTGCGGGCGAGCCGCGCGATCGCCAAACATGTCAGCCCACTACCGAGTAGGCTGGGACACCGGGCGTCTGGTTGACGGCCGAGTCCTGCTTCGCCTTGCGCCAACGGCCGCCGGATCGACTCCTGTCACAATCGAGCATGGATGGATCGGTGCCAGCGCACAGCTGACGCTGTGGTGAGTCGGTGTAGGGGGTCGAAGCGGCCAGAGTGCCACTGCAGCCAAAAAAGGGGGGCGCCGCGACGGCTCACTGGCCCGAATTTCTCGCCCACCTTTCCGGCCTGGCCTTCTCCTCGAACCGACCTGGTGAAAGCAACTGCGCGGCTGGTTGAATCGGCGGCTTGCACTTGCCGTCAGCATTGGCATCGCCACCTCTGGTTGCGCTCCACCGTCGTGCAGTGCGCCGATGCACAGGCTCGTCAACGACTCGGCGGTGCAGCCTGGCTACCACTCAGGCCTGAGCGAAACAGGGGCTTGGTTGAGCGGTCTCGGGCCATGGAAGAACCAAGAATGCCGTGGTCGCCGAAGCGCGACAATGGACGTGCACCAGCGTTGACAGCGACAGACAGACAAGAGCTCGCGTGAGGATGGTCGCCGAGGCCCGGCATGGAAAAAAGGCAGGCAGGTGAGCAGGCAGACAGACGGACAGACGGTGGCGACGATTTTTGGCAGAGGCTGTGTTGTATTTGTTGTTTTGGTGGATACGATCTCGACCCAGCGCCCCGGGGTAAGGAGACGAGGGGCAGGGCCGGGAAAGATGCAGTTGAAGACAGGGAGGGTGACCACTGGAGCCGCGCGGGCGTCGGGGGGAAACATGGGGAAGAGTCTGGAAAGCATACAGGGCGTGCGTCCGTCCCTCCTCGACACCACCCCGTCTTCCTGAAGGGCGGTGACGGATCTGCAGAACGGGAGAAGCGGCCGCCCGACACCAGTGGGGTTGGCCTCGGTCACCGCCGAAGAGGGGTGACGCTGGAAACCTTTGTCCGAGCCCCCGCATGCAAGGCTCAGCTTTAGGCGTCCATCCTTGTGAGGAGGCCTTTTGGGATCGAACCGGAGAAGTCCGATCCCGTCCTTCGTCGCGTCGTCGTCGCCGTGTGGGCTTGCGAGAGAAGAAAGGAATGAAGGAGAGAAGGGGGGATGACGGAACAAGGCGATGGCAGGAAAGAAAAGAGAATGTACAGAAAGAGCCGGGCACCGTGGAAGCTGTTTACTTCTTGGCGTTGGCGGCCTCCTCCTCCTTCTTCTGCTGGCGGGCCTTGAGGTAGCCGGCCTGGCGGTGCGCGCCACGGGTGGTTCGGAGGTGCTTGTAGGCCTGGAACTCCTTCTCCTCGGCGGTGATGGCACGGGGAGCCTCGGCGACGCTCGAGGCGGGCAGGGGGAGGACAGCCTGGACCTGGCGGGCGGCGGTGACGTTGGAGAGGTCGACCTTCTTGTCCTTGTTCTGCTTCGTCTTGCGGGGGATGACGATGATGCGCTCGTTGTAGGCCTTGAGGCGGTCAGTGTTGATCTTGAGCGACTCGGCCGACTTGTTGCGCCTGCGGTGGTCGACGGGGATGCCGATGGAGCGGGCCTCCTTCTTGCGGATGCCGGCAGCCTTGAGCTCCTCGATGGTGAAGCCGCGGCCGGAGCGGATCTTCATGTTGTAGCGGAAGGTGGGGCATCGGACAGCGGGGCGGAGGGGCTGGACGGGTCGGAGACCGAGCTTGGCGGCCTTGACCTGGCGGGCAGTGCGCCTGCGCTTCTTGGCGCCGGCCTGGTCGAACCAGACCTTGACACGCCTCTGCCAGTCCTTGCGGAAGTGGTTGTTGTGGAGGACGTTGTTGTGGTGAACAGCCATCTTCGGAGACAGGAGGTGGAGAAGGAGCGGGTGTGGGCGGGAAGAAAGGGCGAGAAACGACAGAGGTCAGCTCGTTCTGGACTCGGAACTGAGAGAAATTTGCACCCTAGCCGCGCCAGTTCCGGACCGCGAGGCCGCGCCTCTTTCTTCCGCTAAATCCTGGTCCGGCTCAACAGCATCCATGCGACCAGAGACCGCATCTCCAATCCTGCCTAAACTTCCACCTAGCATCCCAACAACATCATTGCCGCCGTCGCCAGCCGCATCGAGCCAGGCGGAAGTCGAAGTTGGTCGGGCGGTGTGGTTGTCGAGGTCGGAAGGCTGAGGGGACAGATCGGTGCCTCTTTGGCGGCAGTGGTCGTGCTCGCTATCCGTGGCATCTCGAATGGGCGTGCCATAAGTCGAGCATATCGCTGAAGAAGTAGAAAGACGGCGGGACTTCGTCTAGATCCCGAAGCCGTAGTCGAAGGCGGCTGTTTTGGCGGTGAGATGTTGGCAGATTGACCGTTTCGCTGGTGCAGCACGCCCCCTGCGAGCGCAAGTCTGCGAGCAGACCAGCGGGGGCAGCTTGCAATCCGTGTTCGTGGGATGTCGAGCGATTAAGCGGCGATTGCAGATGCCGCTACCAGAGTCGGGAGTCGGTGCAGCTGGGTCTCAAGGACCGCTGTGCCGGAAGAGACGACCGGTCGGCTCTTTGGTATGGTGGCTGAGCGAGGCTGCTGGACGTCGGCGGCGGATCTCTGGCGATGCTGGTACGTTCTACGGTCGGCGGCAATGATGCGGTCCTCGATTCCACCTCAGATGTACTGACACCGAACCACGGCTCCTCCCGGCTCTCCTTCCAAAAACCTCCCTCCTGCGCGGCCTTATCTCGTTGTCGTAGGTGCGGCGGTCGCTTACGGTGCTGGAGTCGATATGGTGATGCTCACTTTGTCGGAGTCTTGAGGGGGACGGCGGTGATGGTGAGGAAGCAGTGGGGCCGGTGTCAGTCGTCGGATGGCTTGCCTGCCGCCCGCTCGCCCGCCCGCTCGCCCGCCAGCCTGCCAGCCAGCCTGCCAGCCTGCCTGCCTGCCTGCCTGCCCGCCCTTCTGCCTTCG